AGAGCGCTCGCCTTGAGCTGAAGAGCTGAGGGACAGTGCCCAGGCCCAGAGTTCAAGCCCCATGACCGACAAAAAAAAAAAAGTAAGCTAACACCTGACTTAGATAATTGTAATTCCTGTGAACATCACCTTTATAATAACAAAAGAAAAAAGCAATTTGCTAATTATGATAAAACTAATAATATTTAGAACATAGTAGATGTACTAGTCTTCAGTTTAAAAATGGAATTAATATACCTACTCTATACTGATAAGAACTTTTATTTTTTTTAATTTTTTATTATTTTTTAATTAAAAAATTTTTGGGGGGAGGGTCTGGTCGTGGGGCCTGAACTCTGGGCCTGGGCACTGTCTCTCAGCTCTTGAGCTCAAGGCTAGCGCTCTACCACTTGAGCCACAGCGCCACTTATGGCTTTTTTTCTTTTCCCTTATGTGGTGCTGGGAATCGAACCGAGGGCCTCATGCATGCAAGGCAAGCGCTCTACCACTGAGCCACCTTCCCAGCCCTGATAAGAACTTTTAAGTCTGACTTTTATGAAAATTTCAGTAACACTGAAAATTCTCCTTTTCAATGTACTAGAAAATAAAGTACCAATGATATACATTTAAGACATAGAGGTAAGGGCAATACAAGCTGAATGATACATCCATCCTGGCATCCCTAATATTTTCAGCAACAACAGAGCAGAAAGAGTAAGAGTACCAATCCTCCTCCAGTAAATGTAGCTAGGTGATTCAGATCCTCTCAGTAAGGGTAGAAAGTAACCCAGAAGCACAGTGAAGGAAGAAAACACTTGGATGTAGTCTGTGGAATCAAGAGAATACAGACTGACTTGTCATCTAAAGAAAAAAAGGGGGCTGGGAATGCCTACCATACAGGAAGCCCTGGGTTCAACTCCTTAGTACCATATAAACAGAAAAATCCAGAAGTGGCACTGTGGCTCAAGTGGTAGAATGCTAGCCTTGGGCAAAAGAAGCTCAGGGACATTGCCCAGACCTGAGTTTAAGCTCCAGGGCTAACATAACAAAAGTGCACAAAAAGTCAAACCTTTCTTTTCTTTGACAGAATCTTGCTATGCAGCCCAGATTAGCCTTAAACTCTAGATCCTCTTGCCTTAGCTTCCTGAGTGCTGGGCATTACAGATATATACCATCTCATTTTGAGCTGGGAAATTTATTTTAAAAAGTTTAGTTAATTTAAAATTTTAAGGAAATAAGTAGGTGATTCTAAAATGTTGAATTAATCTAATAAATTTAATTGTCTGTATTTAAATTAACATCTGAAAAGACCAAAGAATACTGAGAAGCTGTGAGATATTAGGGTTATAAGTAATGTCCGTGAGAAAAGAATACTATAAAAATGCAATAGAAAAGAAAATGATATGTTGTTTTCTATTTTCATGGGATTAGAGAAATATGAATTCATTTTGTTTCATCAAATTTATTTTTGTGTGTGTGGATTTACTGTGTTTGTTTTCCAAGATGATTGGTAGCTAAAATTGATGACTGGTCCACACCCATGTGTGCAGGCTTGGCAACATCTATACTCAGCATCCAATCAGAAAACAGATTAGCTGACATACCATATTTTGATAGTCTAACTCCCCATTTTGTCAATTTTCCAATTAGTGGCATTTTCATATTAATTCCATTATATTATTAAATATATAGAGAGATCAGGAGATCTTGGGATAGATGATTCATTTTTGTATTTTTTGTTTCAAGTTAAGGACTAGTCTAATTTTGCTTTCTTTAAATTCAGAAATAGAGGAGATTTTTTCTACAGACCTCGTGCCGGGAGATGTCATGGTTATTCCATTAAATGGGACAGTCATGCCTTGTGATGCAGTACTCATTAATGGTACTTGTATTGTCAATGAAAGCATGTTGACAGGTAAATAAACAACTATCACACCAGTTGCTTATGATACTAGTATTAAGTATATACTGTCTTAACTTTTCAAAATTAACTTGCCTTTTATATCCTTTGTTCATGAATATGTTGATGAATATTGTACAAATTACAATGCTAGTGTTGTCTACATGTCTTTGCCTTGCTCTGACTACTTTTCTGACATAAGGGAATGGTATTGTTTGTTTATTTATTTATTTTTGGGTCCGGTCGTGAGACCTGAACTCTGGGCCTGGGTATATAGTTTAATAAGAAGAAAGAAACCCTTTGCCTAAGATAAGAATGTAGCATGTGGGCTGGGATGGTGGCTCAGTGGTAGAGCGCTTGCCTTGCATGCATGAGGCCCTGGGTTCGATTCCTCAGCACCACATAAGCAGAAAAAAAAAAAAACTGGAAGTGTTGCTGTGGCTCAAGTGGTAGAGTGCTAGCCTTGAGCTGAAGAGCTAAGGGACAGAGCCCAGGCCCAGAGTTCAGGCCCCACAACTGGACCCCCCCCAAAAAAAAGTAGCATGTTTGCTTTCATATTTGTTGGGTGAGAAGAAAGGATTTTTTAAATTGGAAGAAATACATTTAAAATATTCTAAAATAAATGAACGACAAGAGAGTAAAGCAAGCTTTTGGGTCATAGTACCAGCAGGATTGTGGAAAAGTGAATATAATCAAAGTACTTTATATGACTGTATAAAGAGAAAAATAATTGAGTTGAAATTGTTTTAAGAAGGGGGAGGAGGGATACTGATAGGTGTGGTGAGGTTAATGGGGCTGCATTGTGTGCATATATGAAAGAAAATGTCAACAATGAAACGTCCCCTGTACAACTAATGTATGCTAATAAAAATCTTTTATTATTTTATTTTTTTCAATTATGGTTTAGTAGTACAAAGGAGTTTCAGTTCAACATGTAAAATCTATTAAAGGAAAAATAGACTTCAGAGTGACTTTTTTTTTTGCTAGTCGTAGGGCCTGAACTCTGAGCCTGGGTGCTGTCCCTCAGCTCTTCAGCTCAAGGCTAGCACTCTACCACTTGAGCCACAGCAACACTTCCGGCTTTTTTTCCCCCTGCTTATGTGGTGCTGAGGAATAGAACCCAGGGCCTCATGCATGCAAGGCGAGCACTCTACCACTCAGCCACCTTCCCAGCCCCCAGACTGACTTTTCTAAGGAACGTCATAATCTGGAAGTAGATCTTTATTTTTTAAAATCATGTGACTTATTGTCATAGTCATATGATTGCTACATAATGGATTTTGAAACTGTTAAAAGAATCATCTTAAAACACATCCATATATCCTGCATATTAACTTTCTTTCATGCAAGAAATGTAAGTGCTGGGGCTGGGAAGGTGGCTGTGTAACAGTGCTGTCATACAATTCTTAGGAATAAGAGGATGGGTAATGAGGTTGTTGAATCTACCTGATTTTCTTTGAAACTTCCACAATGCATTCATTTCTAGATATAGACAAGATGTAGACTTCGAGTCACAAACCACTTTCTGTAGTTAAGGCAACTTGATGTTTCTAGGTGAACCAGTTAGTAGGCAAAAAGTTTATTGATTATACTCTCCTACAGTATTGTTAACATTGAGAATATTTTATAATGCAATAATTTTTATGTGTGCTTGATATTGATTTATGCTTCGGTATAATTTTTTTTTTAATAGGAGAGAGTGTTCCAGTGACAAAGACTAATTTGCCAAATCCTTCAGTGGATATAAAAGGAATGGGAGAGGAATTATACAGTCCAGAAACACATAAACGACACACTCTGTTTTGTGGGACGACTGTTATTCAGACCCGTTTTTACACTGGAGAACTTGTTAAAGCCATAGTAGTTAGGACAGGTAGAAGACATTTAATTCCTTGCATGTTTGATCATTTATGATACCCACTGGATTCTATTTGGGTAATAATTCTCTCTTTTTAAATTTTCTTTTTCTTCTTTTTTGAAAGGATTTAGTACTTCCAAAGGACAACTGGTCCGCTCTATATTGTATCCTAAACCAACTGACTTTAAACTCTACAGAGATGCTTACTTATTTCTACTATGTCTTGTGGCAGTGGCTGGCATTGGGTTCATCTACACAATTGTCAATAGCATTTTAAATGAGGTATGTTATTAGGACTTGGGTAAGATTTGATCTTTATCACTTATGACTATTGAGAAATAGAAATGTGGCTATTGAGATAGGATCTAAATTTTTAAGCTAGCATGGTTAATTTAACTCAAATGAAACTAGTATTTATTATATTTAAAAGCACAAATATATTGGGAGGCTGAAGCAGGAAGTTTAAGATCAGCCTAAACTATACATAGCAAGACTATCAGTCAAAAAACCCCCAAGAAAACAGTTTCTGTTGTGCAGTATATATGTTAGTGGGGGTGTAGAGTAAAATGGAAGAGAGGGTAGATAAGGGTAAATATGGAGAGCGCAGTGAAATCTGTTTGAACTTGTTTTGACAGGGAAGGGGAGGAAAAGAGAGTGATGGGTGAGGTTAATGGGAGTACATTGTATGCATGCGTAGAGATGTCATAATGAAAAGCCCTCCATATACTAATACTTTAAAAAAATATATAAGTAGAAGGTGGATACAAATGGCTCATGCCTGTAATCCTTGCTCCTCAGAAGGCTTAGGTACATAGGATTAAGGTTTGAAGCCATCCTGGGCGGAAAAGTCCATGAGACTCCAAAATTATGAGCAATAAGCTAGGCCAGAAGCATGACTCCGGTGGTAGAGTACTAGCCAAGCAAGTGCAAGTCCAAGTACAAATCTTAGTTCAAACACCAGTATCAGGAAAAGGGTGTAAATATAGAATACTTGAACCCGTAGTAAAAAATTGTCTTTTTTGGGGGGGGGTCCGGTCATGGGCCTGAATTCTGGGCCTGGGTGCTGTCCCTCAGCTCTTCAGCTCAAGGCTAGCACTCTACCACTTGAGCCATAACGCCACTTCCGGCTTTTTTTTTTTTCTGCTTATGTGGTGCTGAAGAATCGAACCCAGTGCTTCATGCATGCAAGGCAAGCGATCTACTGCTGAGCCATCTTCCCAGCTCCAAATAATTCTTTTGGATAGCTTTGGTTTTTTAGGTGGTAGTTTTTCTTTTTGCGACCTAAAGGAGTAAAATCACGTAATGTACAAAAAAATTTTTTTTTTTACAATTTCTGGGATAAAATATGTAGCAATTAAATTAATTTTGAATATTTAATTGAAAACATCTCTAAGGGGCTGGGAAGGTGGCTCAGTGGTAGAGCGCTTGCCTTGCATGCATGAGGCCCTGGGTTCGATTCCTCAGACCACATAAGCAAAAAGAAAAAAGCCAGAAGTGGTGCTGTGGCTCAAGTGGTAGAGCACTAGCTTTGAGTTGAAGAGCTGAGGGACAGTGCCCAGGTCCAGAGTTCAGGACCCACGACTGGACCCCCCCTATAAAAGTCTCATGGACTTACAAAAGAAAAGGCGGGGGGGGGGGCCTGGGAAGGTGGCTCAGTGGTAGAGCGCTTGCCTTGCATGCTCGAGGCCCTGAGTTCAATTCCTCAGCACCACATAAGCAAAAAGGAAAAAAAAAGCCGGAAGTGGCGTTGTGGCTCAAGTGGTAGAGCACTAGCCTTGAGCTGAAGAGCTGAGGGACTGCGCCCAGGCCCAGAGTTCAGGCCCCACGACAGGACCCCAAAAAAAAAAAAAAAGGCGGGGGGGGTGGGCCACTGGGAAGGTGGCTCAGTGGTAGAGTGCTTGCCTTGCATGCCTGAGGCCCTGGGTTCGATTCCTTAGCACCATGTAAGCAGGGGAAAAAAGGCCGGAAGTGGTGCTGTGGCTCAAGTGGTAGAGCGCTAGCCTTGAGCTGAAAAGCTGAGGGACAGCGCCCAGGCCCCACTACCGGACCCAAAAAAAAAAAAAGAAAACATCTCTAAAGGACCTCATTTGATTTCACTTTTGTACCTATCGGAGACTTATAGGGTACTTGAAAGAAGAGTTAGTATCCAGCCAAAGTTAGTTGCACTTCGTCTGAAGTTTGTATGTGAAGAATGTAGGGGAACTAGAATGAGAATAGCTTTCTTTAACTTTCAGAAGCTTCCTGTAACTTTGATTCTGCAATTTGACAATTTGTTGAGTTTTCTTTTTTGAGTCTGGGGCTAGGACTTGAACTCAATACCTGACACTTTCGTTCATTTGTTATGCTCTACCAACTGAGCCACACCTCCAACTCCATAAGGGTTGGTTGTTTCTTTTTTCTTTACTTTTTTTTAGTTCTCTATTTTAAAAAACTTCTGAAAGAAAAAATAATGGAGATCATTAGTCTGTGTATGTAGAAATAACATGTTGATTGGTTTTCACTAAAGAAATAACCATATTCAATTGGTAAATAATGTAGAGGACTTGACTTTTATTTTTGTGTCAATTATAGGTAGAAGTTGGAGAAATCATTATTGAATCTCTTGATATCATTACAATTACTGTACCACCTGCACTTCCTGCTGCAATGACTGCTGGTATTGTATATGCTCAAAGAAGACTGAAAAATGTTGGTATTTTCTGTATCAGTCCTCAAAGGATAAATATCTGTGGACAGCTGAATCTTGTTTGTTTTGACAAGGTTGGTTCAGTTTCATAGTTAAGTTTTTAAATATTTAGTGTTTTCCTGTGGGTTTTTATGTGAACCAATTTATAAAACTCATTTTAAATGCTCTGATTTTCCTTTCTCAAACATTATATGCATCTTTTCAATTATTTTCTCAATTTTAAAAACTTCTGAATATCACTTACTTGCTGAAATCTACAATTGACTAATTGTTTGTATCCAGAATTATGTTTTGTAGTAGTAACAAGTAAACCAGGCATGGTGGCGCAGACCTGTAGTCCTAGCACTTGGGAGGCTGAGTCAGGAAGATAGCTTGAGCCAACGAGTTTGAGGTCATCCTGGGCAACATAGCAAGACCCCATCTCCAAAAAAATAAAAAAGGTTAAAATGTATAAGTAATAAAACTTAGTAGTAATAAGTACTAAAAGCTGTATGGTCTATTGCCTAATTTTATGGAATAGGTTCCTTAGATAATGTGTTGACTATGCTTATAAGAATGTGTGTTTAGTGTTTGCTCTGTGATACTATTACCTGTTTCAAAACCATGGTCAGTGATTTTATGGTTATATTAACCTTTATGAAATGGACCTTGCCTCATACAAGGGTTTATCCCTTCCTGAGATGAAATTAGGTTTTTCTGGAAGTTTTAAGAATAAGTCTTAACAATAAGCCTATCAAACTCTACTAGGTAACTGATAACAATTTGGTTTTTGAGCGTTTTATTACTTAAAAAATGAAAGACATATACTCTGTCAAGATTGTTTTATACATCTGTTTCGAATTTTTAACTTATTCTTTAGAAATTTTCTTTGGGGGAGGGTAGGCAGGAATTTGGGACCTAGAGCCTCATGCATGCCAAGTAAATATTCTACTTTTGAGTTACAGCTCCAACTTAGAATCTTCTTTCTTGTTTCTTGTTTTGTTTTCCAGAAAGGATCTGTTATGTAGCTAGTTTGGCCTTGAATTTATAGTAAATCTTCTGTCTCAGCCTCCCAAGTTTGGGATTGCAGACATGTGCCACCACTCTAGAATTTTTCTTAGTATAAATTTGAAATAGACATAATAGTGGGGAAAAGCTACAGATATAATCACGTATAGTAAGTTCTTTACTCCTTACCCAGATTTAACAGTTACTGACATTTTTGTCAAACTTATCTCAATTTGTCCTCATTATAAAGATGGCAGCATTAGTCATTGTGTTACACCTCTAGTTATCTGATTATGTTTTATGGAAGATAAGATGCTTTTTAAAAGAAATACAATACCTCTTAAATCACACTTGACAAAGTTAACTAATTAATAGTTATCTGATAACCAGTTCGTATTCAGATTTTACTGCCTATCACAAATAGTATTTCAAGTTTTTACAATTTCGTTTTTCAGTTAGAATCCTGTAATTAATCTTTAACAATTTTCTTTATTTGCTCTTCATCTTCAATCATTTTATTTAAGAAACTGGGTCCTTTACCTCTTTTTTTTATGGACTCCCTATGACCTAATTCTGCTTGCTGTTATTTGCATTCTTTATTCATGGATAGATTTATTGTTATACTTAATAATGAAAGTATATAAGTACATAATTATACTAATAAGATTCCTACATGGAGGAATGTGAGTACTGTTTTACACCGAGTTTTACATTTTAACCATGTATCCTGGTTATTATTCTCTGGTCAGTGCCTGTAGATCTCAGCTGTTCCTATCTTTTCTTTCCTCTCAGACTCTTACGTGTATAAAGAATAGGTTTTTGTTGTTGCTGTCTTTTTTTTTTTTTGGGTCCAGTCGTGGGGCCTGAACTCTGGGCCTGGGCGCTGTCCCTCAGCTCTTCAGCTCAAGGCTAGTGCTCTACCATTGAGCCACAGTGCCACTTCCAGCTTTTTTTCTTTTTGCATATGTGGTGCTGAAGAATCGAACCCAGGGCCTTGAGCATGCAAGGCAAGTGCTCTACCACTGAGCCACCTTCCTAGCCTTGTTGGCTGTCTTTTTAAAAATATAGTTCATAATAATATATGTCTGTCTTTGGATTTTTTTTCTTTTTAAAAGCATTATATTTACTTGTGCATGTATGTTTTTCAAATTTTAGACTGGAACTCTTACTGAAGATGGTTTAGATCTGTGGGGGATTCAACGAGTGGAAAATACCCGGTAAATATTAGCTAGGCTTTATATTTGATTAGTTAATTTTAAATATTTTAATGCATACCATTCAAACATACAAGTAGCAAATGTAACAGATAACTGTGCGTCAGACACCAAGACTATAACTTGGATTTTTTTTTTTTTT